TTTATATAATGTACTTTCAGTATAAAAATAATGTATCTTTAGTACAAAAATAATATACTTTTAATATATTAAAAAGTACCGATATTCATGGTCCACACAATAATTCGCCCCAAATATATTAATAAAAATATCATTTTCATCCATCTTACAATAGTTGACTTGTAAATTAAATCAAATTTTAATAATAACAGAGATAAGTATGTGTATTTCCTCTTTAGCCAGTAAAGAGTGAATTTATTTTTTATTTTTATATTTTTAACCAAAGGGAACGCACTAAAATAGAATTCTGATCAACATTCTAGATTATTTTTAAACAACTGTATGGATCATGGTCCATGTAATAATGATTGCATCTGATAGCTCAAGTCTTCTGGCAACACATGCGGCAAATTATTTTGTAGACCCAGGTTCAAAATACACAATTTACATACTAAATTTACAATTTATACACTAAATGTTCATAACTAAATGTTCACAATTTACATACTCAATATTCACAATTTAAATTGTGAACATTCAGTATGTAAATTGTGAATATTCAATATGTAAATTGTGATGGGTTCCAACCCAGGTCCATGGTATAACTATTCAACACATGCTACAAAATTAAATGTATTAGATGCATCATGTATGAAGCCGCTACTGCAACATAGCAAGTGAGGTGTCAACTTGAAGCTATTACATAATGATTAGAGCATATATATATATATATATATATATATATATATATATATATATATATTTATTTATTTATTTATTTATGGTATTAATATTATTAATTATTTATTATTATTATTATTATTTTTCTTTATTATTATTATTATTATTATTAGTGTTAGTGTTAGTGTTATTATTGTAATATAATATATATATATATATATATATATATATATATATATGAATATGAATTGCAACTATATTGATATTAGGTTATATATTTTTTTAATAAATAATATTATTATAATATTGTCCAATATTCATTCCGTGCATCGCATGGGTAGCATACTAGGAGTAGACATACTTAAGATCAAATATGTATACCGCTAGCTGCGATTAATAATAGTAACTTTTTTTATCATACTATTTTTAATTATTAAATTAAATACTGTAAATACAATATCATAATTATTTTGTCATATACTTAATAAAAATGTAATTTTAAACAATTAAATTATGGTTCATGTTTTCTTCTTCTGTACTTCAAATACCATTATTAAAAACATTTTTTACCTATTATAACATTACAAATAAATCTTTAATATTTAGGCTGTGCATCGCACGGGGCAATACTAGTATTATATATAGAGATATAAAATCATACTAAAAGTTCAATAGACAGTCAATCATTATGTAACACATTGAATATTATTTTTATCGTTAAAAATAACATTTTTTTTACATACCTTGGTAAAAAAGTTTCGCTTTCAAATTTAAGTTTATCAATATTCATATATAAAATACAAACAAACTTCAAAATGACAAGAACTTGTAATTTTGGTAAAGGATGAGGCTTTAAGTTTAGAATTGTCTATTTTGTGCTAATTATTTTGCATTTGGCCTTGCGGGCTAAGTTAAACAAACTTTCCAAAAATATTTTCCAACATTTTGTCATTGATCGAGAAGTGAAGCGTACTTCGCAATTCTGAGAAGTGCCAGAAGCACCTCTCTAGTCAAGAAGTGCGGCCATCAGTTGTGTGACCGATAAGTAAACTTACCTTGCGGTTACGTGCGAGTGTTTACTTTTCGGCTCGGGCAAGAAGTTTACTAGAAAAACTTACCTTCCATTCCAACATTTTCCTTACATTTTCCACTTTTGGGTGTCTAAACTCGAAAAAATAATAATGTTATTTTCAATGATAAAAATAATATTTAATGTGATACATAGTGATTGATTGTCTATTGAACTTTTAGTGTGTGTGTGTGTGTGTGTGTGTGTGTGTGTGTGTGTGTGTGTGTGTGTGTGTATATATATATATATATATGGGTCCGGATCAGGTGAGGACGTGCGGACTAATCTAGATCATTAAATCAGAATGATGTATGGTTGAGATTAAAAGAAACAAACCACACGGATTAAGGAAACAAATCCATTTAAAATATTAAAATATATAAATTTAGGGTAAAGCAGTCTTATTAAAAGATGTGCATTCCTATACAGAGTGTTGTGCATCGATAACATTATTGTTGTGCATTCAATCCCCTCCAAAAAATCCTACAGTGTGTCCCAATGTCCTACGATGCACTGAACCCTATGTATTATAATGCACAACTCTTTAGCCTATGGTGCACAACTTACAACACTAGGTTGCACAACCAGCACACACGAATGCACAATCGTACTACCCAGGCATTTGTACATATACATGACCATCCAAATATAGACAATATTATACTCAAAAGAACGAGCGAAAAAAAATAAAAAATACTGATTAGTTTGCATGGGCGAACACTCAATCAACGGATGAAGAAATCGAGGCTCCAAATTGCAATGGTGATGATCCAAGAAAATAGGAAATCAATTTGGCCAAGGATTACACATGCGTTCACACTTAAAAAAAAAATAGAAAAAGACACTACTACCCCACTTTAACAAAAAAGATCAATCCATGTCATCTCATGAACTCAAATCTGGGCCATCCAAAAAAAAAAACAAACAAACAAATGCACAAGATTAGTCCTCACCTAAGATTAGGTCCTCACCTGATCCCCGGACCCATATATATATATATATATATATATATATATATATATATATATATATATATATATATATATATATATATATATATATATATATATATATATAAAGATAAAAATAAAAAGTATATAAGTATTTATGAAAGTAACGAATCTTATTGTAAAACTTGATAGGGATAGAGGAAAACTTTTTATGTTTTCACAGAACAAAAAAGAAAGTTTAAAATTTTGAGGTTGGACTGTGGAATTTTATCTATTATATTTGTACGAAAAAAAAAATCTATAGAAATTCTAAAATGATAGAGTCTAAAAAAAGAAAAAAAAAAGAAAAAAAAAAGAGAAATAAATAAAAGAGATTTTTCTAAAATGGTCCCTCGACTATTCTCAAAATGATCCCTCGACTATTTTTCTGTGTATATTAGGCGTATAATAGGTAAACGGACGAAAATGCCCTCCATTTTAACAATGAGTAGACGAAAAACTTAACGAAAGACTAAATTGAGCGATTATTTGAAAGTGAAGGGACCACATTTGGTGCAATTGAAAGTTGAAATGCAAAATTGAGAATGAGTAATAGTTGAGGGACCATTTTGAAAAAGAAAACTCAATTTTAATTTTCAGACGACTAACACATACTACATCGAACTTTGTTAGAATTTTACGCCAATTCTATTCTAATTTCTAAGAGGTAATTTGTACATATTTCCTTTCCTTTTACACTATTTTTTTTCCTTAGTCATTGTTATTTAGAGTGAATTTTACCTTTCATCTTCAGCTTTAATTTCTCAATTGTTATATAATTTTTTCTCCTTCTACTAACTTTTGATCTTGTAATCAAATATTTATTGTAATAAACATTGTATAATCTTTCCTCTATCTACCAAATTTATGATCCCGTAAAAAATTATTGTAATCGTTGAATAATTTCTCTTCTTTCGACCTAACTTTAGATTTTGTAATTAAATATTTATGATATAACTATTGTGTAATTTATCCTCCTTCAACCTAACTTCAAATCTTGTAATCTACGGAGTAATATTTATTGTAAATTGTAATCGTTGTGTAATTTCTAATTTTTAATCCTTCTATATATCTTAAAATTCTGTAATTAAATATTTATTGCAGTAATTGTTGTGTTAATTTATTCTCCTTTTACCGAACTTCTTATCTTATAATTATTTAGTAAAACTTTTTTTAACATTTAATTAAATATTTATCAAAAATCCCATTGTTATCTAAGTCTGGTCTCATGGCATACCGATTCCATGCTGATCCCAAACACAACACTTGCATGCGACGTAGGTTATGGCTATATGTTTATTTTATTTTATTTTATTTTTCTTTTGTCATCTTATCAGCATCTTTAAAATTAACTATAATTAAATTGTCACCGCCAAGCACCTTGTGCTCAGATGACATGTAGTGACCTCTCCCATGTGGGAGGTTATGAGATTGAGTCTCAGTGGATGTGTGGTTGACTCTGTGTGTTTCATTAGCTCGATTGAAAGGACCCCCAAAACAAGTTCGATCACCTACCAAGTAATACTTGGTATTGATCGTCGTTCGCCTGGCAACCGAGCGTCACCTTCTTCCTGGAGAAGGAGGTAGTTGGACAGTTACCGTTAACCTATTGGTTACCTTATAAGTGGACTTATTTGATTGATTTTATGAAGTTGAAGTACTTAATTGCACATTTTTAAAGTTTAAGGGCTTAATTACACTTTTGTATAAAGTTCTAGGGAGTATTTGATCATTTTCCTAATTAAATATCAAAATTTTAAAAACTAGCCAGGGTCGATGTAAATATAATTAGCAAAATGATAAATGTATAAAACGAATTAGGAGATAAGGACATGACGCATATACACAAGTTAAATTGCAATATAATATATAATGTACACAATCTCGACATGAAAAAATATACTAAATTGGTGGAATTTGATTCTTCCCATGTAATATATCAAATCTGATATGAACCTTCTTAATGAAATTATGTGTATTTATTATTTAAAGTGATGTTGGCTGGTGCCCCAACTAATTTCAGTAATTTGACTCTCAACTTATATGACTATTTAATATGAAAGATAAAGTTTAAAAGAATCCGAAAATAAAGTTAAATTTGGCGTTTTCTTTATCATTTTTTAAATATTATTTTGTAAAAAAAGAAAAAAAAAAAAAAAAAAGAGACTTTTTATCTTTGGAAGGCTATAAAAGGGTTCGTAACGTATGGCAAGATTCAATCACACCCAACTTGTTTTTAACTTAGTTTTTTCTCGTCTTCACGTTTTCTTCATTCGCTCGCTTTCTTTGTTGTTTTCTCTTTATTTTCGGTCTTTCTTCTTCTTCTTCTTCTTCTTCTTCTTCTTCTTCTTCTTCTTCTTCTTCTTGAAGCCTTTAATTAATAGCCTTTTTAAGCTATGGGTAGTGAAGGCAGTGTGGAATTGCTCCATTGCAGCAACACCACTTTCTCTAATAAGCTCCATTGTGACCACCCAAAGCTTGAGATTGCAGCTCCCATGGAGGTTATTAATAATGATTTCACTGATGGGTCTTGGTTTGAGGAAGAGATTGATGTTGATCTCAAATGGTCTTTTGCCCTCAACAGGTATATATATATATATATATATATATATATATATATATATATATATATATATATATATATATATATATATATGTTCATTTCAGTGTACTCAGTTCGTTGGTTGATTCTAATTTTGAAAGAATCATCTCCTTGTTGAAACAAAAAAATACGTTCTGAAATTTGAATGAGTCATTTCCTTCCTAAAAAAACTTATGTTCTGAGTTTGAAAGAGTCATTTCCTTCATTTCTTCTGAACAAAAAATTTGAATGAGTCATTTTCTTCCTAAAAAGAATTTATGTTCAGAGTTTGAAAGAGTCATTTCCATTATCCTCCCTTCTGACTATCCAATATACCTAAGAAAACGATGAATTACTCTGTATGTCTTAATAATGCCTTTGAGTACGGTGGTATACACACACAAAATATACATATTTGGAATGGATGTTCAATATAATATATTCGTTATACGTTGAAATAAAACGCACATTTACGTCATGAATACTTAATTATTCCTTCTTTATAAAAAAGCGATATTAAAGACAAGATAGAAAATATTTCTCAAAATTGTGCGAAATTTTTGACATGAAATATGTCACACCATCTTGTCATGACACATTTTTTTTTTTTTATTTGCTGTTTTTCCCAATAGGATGCTGCACAGAGGAAAAAGCGAGTACCAGGACATTGCTCTCTTGGACACAAAGAGGTTTGGGAAGGTAAATATAATTATAATTATAATTATAATTTCTTAATCACGATTAGGTATCAACTTATAATTTATTTATTTATTTTTGTCAAAATCAATTATTCATGAATATTAAAATATTGTTACGCGTGCATGCAGGTGTTGGTGATAGATGGAAAGATGCAGAGTGCAGAGATTGATGAGTTCATCTACCATGAATGCTTAATTCATCCAGCTCTCTTATGTCACCCTAAGTCAGTGTCTTAACTCCTAATTATTCAATCTTAACAATGTTTAATAATCTTCTTTAATTTGACACAATATTTAATTTGTTTTCCTTATAAAATAAAGTTAATTATTGCATTATTAACTAATATAACAATTTTGGTGAATAAAAATTGCAGCCCAAAAACTGTGTTCATAATGGGAGGTGGTGAAGGCTCTGCAGCACGGGAAGCACTGAGGCACAAGTCCATTGACAAAGTGGTCATGTGTGATATCGATCAGGTATAAATATTTAAAGAAAATTTTACAATGACGTGACTTTTGTAAAGTTGTACCTTATGCTTGATCATATGTACACAGGATGAGAGTACAACTTTCCAAAGAACATAGTACAATTTTACAAAACACACTGCATTGTAAATTGTTTCATATATTTAGTAGGAAAAATGACATTTTTGATCACTCAGTTGTGACAGTCGTGTAAATTTAGTCAATTAACTATTTACGGTATAAGTTTAGTCTCTAAACTTTTAACAAAATGACAAATCCCGTGTTTAAAGATTTTAACAAAATCCTAATAATAGAACCATATCAATCACTTTTATAAAAATCTAGAAAAACAAAATCTATACCAAATTAAAAGAATCATTTCCTCTTTCTTATGCATAGATCATTGTTCCTTAGGAATCACCATTTTATTTCATACAATATCACATTATTCCTTCTACCTACTAAACATGAAAAATCATTTTTTGAAAATTATTAAATTAAAGTTGTGTCTATAGTTAGACTTGTGAGAAAAGAAAAGAATAAATGAGAAGCACTATGATGTGGGGAGTAGCATGTGTGTAATGATAGTGATATAGATTTTATAGGTAATTGACTTGGAACCCAACTATGCATTAAAAAATAATTTTTATCCTTTTAATCCATGCTAGTTATTTACATGATGACATAAATAGGTTGGTAGGGATTAAGTCAAAAGTGATCAACATTTCCTATTGCCAACACTAACCTGCTAATTAAGTACATTAAAAAAAAAAACATTATTAAAATTACAACTTTTAATAAAAGCAACTTCAAAAAATAATAATTCTATCTTATTTATTTTTAGTTAGAACGATAAATACAATGTAATTGTCCAATGAATATGCTTAATTTCAAGACAGCAATATAAAAAGTTAAATAGTAAAAATATTTGAGTATGTGTGGTTGGATACTAGTTAAAATGAGGAATGAGGATAGGGCTTTCTGTGCAATTAGTGTGGATTGCATCATTAGGTATGCATCAATGCACCATACAGTGTTTGAAAATGTAATGCACAAAATACACTAGCATTTATGCATACCTAATGATGCGTGATCGCATTGCCGCATGAAAAACACTGTTAGCACGGAAACTTGACCCTGTGTGGTTGAACGGAACAAGACACATAAAATGACGCGAACGAAAGGAGTGTGAATTTTGTTTGATTAGTTAATAATAATAATAATAACGTTGGATGTGTTGGTGAATGTTGCAGGAGGTAGTTGAGTTTTGCCGGAGACACCTAACGGCAAACTATGAGGCTTTCCATAATAAGAAGCTTGATTTGGTGATCAATGATGCAAAGTAAGTGATCTTGTAGCCAATAAGTTTTTGGTGAAGCCCAATGGGCCAAGTTGGGATACCAAGTAGCTAATTAATAATTGATTGGTAATTGTAAGGGCTGAGCTGGAGCAGAGGAAGGAGAAGTTTGATGTGATAGTGGGAGATTTGGCTGATCCAGTTGAAGGAGGGCCTTGCTATCAACTCTACACCAAATCATTTTATGAGAATGTTCTCAAGCCTAAGCTCAGTGAAGGTGGAATCTTTGTAACTCAGGTAATTACATACTCTCCTTTGTTTGTATTAGGATTTAGGATGGATAAAATGTTTATCACTAAGCTATAGCTCATAACTAGCTAAGCCTAACTTTATTTCCGGCTATACATTTTCAAAAGTGATGAGTGTTTGGTACGGTGCAGGCTGGACCTGCGGGGGTTTTCACCCACAAGGAGGTCTTCTCGTCTATCTACTACACAATCAAACAAGTGTTCAAGCGTAAGTAGCATTTCGTTTTTATTTTTTATAATCATATATATATATATATATAATATAATGTCCATCCAGATAATATAAGATGTGACTGACAATATATATATATATATATATATATATATATATATATATATATGCTGCAGATGTGATTGTTTTCACAGCACATGTGCCATCTTTTGCTGATACATGGGGATGGGTTATGGTTAGTTTCTACATACTCTAAAACCAAACCAAATTGAAGAATGAATAATTAGCAGATATATAGATACTGATTAATTAATTGCATGCATTCATATATGCAGGCTTCTGATGAGCCATTGTGCGTAGATTCTGCAATGATAGACACCAAAATTGCAGACACAATTGATGGAGAGCTTTTGTATCTCAGTGGCTCTTCCTTCTACAGCTCCACCATCTTGAACAAGACCGTCGCCACAACGTAAGAATATCAACTTTTAATTCCATCCTATCCATGGCTTCAACCAAACCTTAATTAAATATTTTGTTATTAGGTTGAAGAATGAGACTCATGTGTACACTGAGGAAGATGCAAGGTTCATCCCTGGACATGGGCTGCTCACATTCAAGAACTGATGGATCGGATCGGATTTGAGGAGAATTATTATTCAAGGAGGCCGGGCTGTACAGAAACAAACCAAACAAAACATCAAAGAAGAAGCTGATGAGAGTTTAATTTGTCTGTCTATTAAGAAATGTTATGTTGTTGAATCCTAATAAAAGGATTTTATATTATATTATGGTCTGTCTTGTTAAGTAGTATGTAGTTGATCGAGTTGCTGTTTGTTCAGTTGTGTTCAGTGTATAGGCAGGCTAGGAGGCCGATCTCATCTGGCTCTTCCTATATATGCTACAAATTAAAACAATGTTGTTTCAGTTTAATGTTTAAGACATTACTTTAATTTGCTTCACTACTCTTTCTCCTTAATATACTCGAATCAAGTCTCAATAATAGAGTTAGAAACTCACCATTAGTAGTTTCATTAGCTTATACTCTTATTTAGATCTTTAAAAAGCTACTTAATCACGAAATCTTGTATAAATTTTAGAGTTAATTTTAAATTTAATCATTTGCTATCGTTCATTTTAAATAATAAGAAAGTTGAGGGTGAATTTTGTATAAATTCTAGAGTTAATTTCAAATTCACTCATTTGTTAATTGCTATCACTCATTTTCAATAATAAAAAAATTGAGGGTGAAATTAGCACATCTATAATAAGAGCATTCACATTTGTAAATTTTGAAAGATTTTTGCAGAGATTGAAAACCAATGAGGGGTTTTTGAACAATGGAAAGATGGGTTTTGAGGATTTTTTTCTCTTGCAAATTAAGTTTTTAGTAAGCCTTACATACATCTTGATAAAAGTGACTCGTAGGCCGCACATTTTGAGCAATTCTGCGCCCAACATGACGCATGCAGTCCATTGCATGTTTGGCATGTCTTTCTCTTCTTTTCTTTTTTTTTTTTTTGTCAAAATTGTTTTTTTTTTTTTTTTCCATTTTCTAGCCTTTTTCTCCCCCGTTTTTCTCCCCCCTACTTGGCACCTCAAAAACTTCAAAAAAACTAGCATCCACAATAGTGGATTTTAAGAATTTTTTCGTTGGGCATTGTGTGATGTGAAGGAGAGAAAAATAAAAGGGGAAAATTTTGATATCTACTATAATAAGAGTCCAAGAGAGTTAAATTTATAATGGGTAGAAAAAATGGCCGTCAAATTGAACAAATTTTAAGTTTTCCTTTAAGATTTCCTAATTTATCCTCGATGAATATGATTATCCGTTAACTTTTCCGTTAAATATTATCTTTCCGTTAATTTATGTTACTTCACCATTAACTTACTCATTGATTTCAATAAGAAATGTCTTAGGTTCGAACCTCATCCCAATCAAAGTTGGCATAATTAATACTCTATTTTACTCTTATTAAATTACTAGTTTTGACACGCGCTTTGCGCGATTAGACCAATGCCCAATGTGTATTTATAAATTAGTGTTACTTAATTGGTTAAAGTATTCATATAATAATGAGAGAAAGAAAAATGCAAAATTAATAAAAGATAAAGAAATAATATTGTGCTTATATATTTTAATAAAAGATAAAGAAATTCGAAATAGCTAATATAGAATTAAAGTAAGTAAAAACAAATAAACTATAGGATCTATAGAATCAACTAAATGATGCTGCAACCGCCTCTCATCGTCTCAAACTTCCACCGTATGTACAGGTATAAGAAAATGAACCCAAAATACAGGGAAAGCCAAAGAAACCTGCTACGGCTTGTAATTTGTTAGGATCCCTGCACAAGACCCTCCCTAGGAACATTGGTCACTCGAAGGACAGCTTGAGCGCTCAAGGGTGAGAGCTTTGATTGGCAAAATTGCTCCCAAGAAATTGCTTCTTGATCTTCAGTCACTGTTGTTGTTATCTTCTCATAGACACTTTGCAGTTCCAATAAAAGAGCACAGGCAGCTTCCCTAGACTCAGGAAGTTGGTCACTAAGCTGAGATGCAGCAATTTGGATCAACTTGTCAAGACCATAAGCTTCAACTCCCTGCATGTTAACCATAGTACAGTTATTATTATTATTATCTTTGACTAGTCTTGTAACGGGTTTATTTTGTTATGGTATTCCTGTTAGATAGGATAGTATTACGTTAGTTGTTATTTGTTTTATATTGTAACTCCTATCTTATTGGGTTGAATAATCTGAAATAGTTTTCTCATCCTGCAAAGCATCAACTCACCACATTACAATATGACATATTTTACTGAAAACAAAACAAGTGAAAGATCCAAACTCATTTCCTAAAAAAATGAACAAATCATATTCTCTTGCTTTTTATTCCATTCATGTCCACACGTGAAATGGTTGAATCTCAGGATACAGAATACAATTGTGAACAAATCATATTCACTTGCACTTGAAAGATCATAAGCAGATAAACTCCCATCATAACTCCACTGAACAATGCTCTGCCAAATAGAAAAAAAAAAAAAGGAATGTTTCGTCACAGGAAGAACATGGAAATTTGATTCTCTCTCTCTCTCTCTCTCTCTCTCTCTCTCTCTCTCTCTCTCTCTTTATTGATTATAACAGTCATGTAGGATTAATCTCGCAATAATGCTATCTACCAAGACTACTCTACCTCAAATGAGCATATCACCACCACCATAATTTGTATGACAAATATATCAACACGACAACACAAGCAGCCCAAATTTCACAAGATAAAAATCTCTTCAATTTTTTATTATTTTCTAAAAAGTTTTTTCTTTCAATAATTAAAGGGCATACTTGTCACATAATAGTGAGTAGATAATATTCAAGCTCCACCATAGTGATGATGGCGGGATTTTTTGTGTGCTTATCTTTGAACTCTAACAGGTTTGTTTAAAGTTGAAAACCTACAAGGGATGTCATGCAACTATGCAAGTAACTGAAGTTCAATGCTAATGGACTTGAGATTTTAGAATGATTTATATATAATTTTTCCAATTATTAGATTATATGGGTGTAAGCAGGTAGGTGAAATTTCATGGTGAGCCATCTTCTGGATCAAAATTCACCTAAAAATCTCTACATTTAGCAACTATGCACACGGGGTTTGAATCCTATAAATCAATGCTACAAAAATTCAATTAAAATTAGGCAGGTGAAATTTCATGGTGAGCCATCTTTTGGATCAAAATTCACCTAAAAATTTCTACAAAATCAGAGGAAGGAGCAGAGAGAATCTCCATGAGCTTATTGTTCCGCCGGATTTGCCTTCTCCGATTTGCCTTCCCCGAACTGCTGCCAGAGATCCCTCCTTCGTTTATCGCCTCCAGAAGTGGTCCGGAGTGATTGATGTTCGAACTGCCACCGTCGGATTTGCGTTCTCCGAACTGCTGCCGGAGATCGCTCCTTCGTTTATCGCCTCCAGAAGTGGTCCAGAGTGATTGATGTTCGAACTGCCTCCAGAATCGCCGCTCGTAATTTCTTTGATGTGCTTCTCTGGATTGTCCTTAATCCCCCTCGTAATTGCCTTTCAATTTGACTTAAACTTCAAATTTTCCACCGCGCAGCTTTGTTGACAGAATTGTTAAATCTAACAGTGTAAATTTGGTAAAATTAAGAAAGATTAGGTTAAAGATATGGTATTTTTAGTTGTACTCACGGATTATCCATTATCCCTACAAATCAAATTTTTTAATCTCCTTAGATTACTTATTCATGGAAGTGTTTCATACATTTGACTTAAAGATATGCTTTTTCAAAAATAATTCCACATGCAATATAGAAAAAATGTTAAATATAGTATAAAAAATTTTCAACTATATGTGTATTCTTACAGCATAACTAAACTTTTATTTGCGTTGGTACAATATAACACCAAATATTTCATACAATCTAACTTTTATAGAATACATGAAATTGTATAAGTAAGCTACAATCCTATTTAGATTGATTAATATTTCATACAGTGTTGCCTGAGTTCACACATAGTAAAATCCAAAATTCAAACTTAGGTTTATCTCCTTCAGCATGTTGATGTCCCCAGTTTGTCTGTGCACATTCTGACTAAGGTTGCTATCTCCATATGTATGGTTAGAGTTCCTCATGCATAAAGTAAGGAAGCAAGAAAAATAGAAACTAAAAAATACTCCGTAACATTTAGTGACATATCAAAAACATCAAACATCAGTACTCAATACTAGTCACCACAACCTTCAATCAGTACAATTCAGCTGGAACACAGAAATCACCATCCTGCAATATATTTCATTTAAGTAGTAAAATAGAGTAAATAACTCATCTATTGTATACAACAAATAAACAGATGACAAAAGAATAGAAGATAAACTTCACATCTTTTTTATCTAACAAATCAGAAAGCGAAGTAACAAAATGTCTTTTAAGTGGTTTTATTTTTTAAATAAGTGATCTATTTTATTCAACAATAAAATAGATGACAACAGAAACCAATAAACTTCACCACTTTTTTATCTAACAGATCAGAAACTGAAGTAACAATAACATAACCACTCCTGAAGTCACCAATACCTGTTGACTGGGACAGAACTGTTGCAGTACTTATACCTGCGAATAGGACTTAATATAAATAATAAGGAAAAAAACAGATAACAATTATAATATCGAAGGAATAATAACCTAAATGTTTAGGAATTATTCACTTACTTGTATTTGAACTTAACAAATTCATCAAAAGATTCATAACTAAAATGTTCCAAGAAAATAAGAGAAAACAAACAACAAAAAATATCAGGCAAAAAATAAATTCATGGGGAGATTAAACAGTAATCAGTGTTTAAAAAAAAAAATAATTTACCTCTGGACCATGGATCAAACATTCTTTGCTCTTATTTCACCTCCTCTCACTTCCGGAACTTCATACGTCTTACTAATCTAACTCGGCATCTTTTCTTGGCAAATATATTTTGTTTTTGTATTCACAGGTGGTTCAGAACTGGATAGATGGAGAAATTGGCCGTGCAAGTTACTAAATTCCAAAGGTTTATATAGAGGCAATCACATATTGTGGTCTGTTATTGAACAACGAACATACAGAGTGTCTTGGAAGTATGAAGAACCACCAAAACGTTTCAGAATTCAAAAGATTGTTGTAGTAATTTGAAATTTAATCTATTTGATTTATTTATTAATAAAAAGGTTGCATCCAAATGTATAGTTGCAGGTTTGCTTCTCGATGCAATAAATATTTCCTTTAATTCGACAGCTAATTTATACATTAGGAATACACAATTAACCAAAGTTAAATTCAAACAGAAACTAAAGCCGGCAAAACTTCATAGATATCTTTAAAACAGTGGGAACAACATTTAATACGGCCTGATTTAGTGGACCAAGCAAAACGACAGTGTAATTATAAACCGATGTTTCTTCATCGGAATATGAAAAGTCACAATTAATATACATTCTTCCCAATTAATATATTAATATATGTATTCAAAGCAGATCATGTTGATAGATATCTAACTTTTTTTAATTAAAAACAAATCGGAAAACAAAAAAGTCCCAAAACTTTGAGCGGGAAAACTCACAAATCTGATTGGCCAATAAGTTATGTCTTTATTATACGGAGTATAAGATAAGAAGATAAGAAGATTCGCTACATTGTCCCTACAATATCTTTATTAAAAAAATTATTCATTATCAATAAATTAATTAAAAGAAATAATTTTATTAGTTATATTGTCATTATATTTCTCCAATGAAAAAATTCTTTACATTCAAATTCATCAATTGATTATATTCACTACATTGTCTATTATCTTTTTTGTGCACAATTTGTTAATTAAATATCAAAGTTATAATACAAAATAATGCTATATATTTATTTACCAAGTATTTTATTAATACCATAAAAAAATTAAAAAAATATATAATTAATAAACCTAATCATATTAACTACTTGAGAGATTTGTTGACAATGAAAGTATTAAAATCACACAACAAATTGAAGTCAGAATTACCTTGCAATGTCCTTGTTTGACAATCAAGCGTTAGCGGATTATATTAGCGGATTTGACCAGCGAATTATATCAACGGTTGGTAAAAATATATTTGAAAAAATTAGCTATTTAGATTAACATGTAAAATGACATAAGGGTATACATATATTTAATAATAATAATAATAATAATAATAATAATAATAATAATAATAATAATAATAATAATAATAATAATAATAACAATAATTGTTTTAAAAATATAATTAAGCCAATCATATTAACTACTTGGGGGACATATTGAAAAAAGAGTATTAAAATCACACAACAAATTGAAGTGAAAAACTACCTCACAATGTCTTTGTTTAACAACCAGCAGTTAGCTCTTCAATATTAGTATATTTTTAATATTTTATACCCTAATTTTTATTTGCTCTCCCTTATGTCCCGTATTTGGTTTCAACCATACCTATACACTTTTTTATTGACAATTATAATCAATCTTTCATATATTATCTTGCATTTGTAAACTTAGAATTATCTATTTAAATACGCAAATTCAACATTCAATTATTTATGCATGAACAATTCTCATATAATTTTGCATTTATATACTTTAAAGTACTTATTTAAAAAAATTTAAAATATTAGACATTATCTCAATTGCACAATGCGCTTAAAAAATTAGTAACAAGATAAGAATCTAAGAGCATCTACACTTGTTTGAGGTTTCGTGTGATTTTTGATGTGTCGGCGAGAGAGAGGGGAGAAAGATAAAAGAAGAGCAAAAGAAAATAAACCTGACAACAAAAATAAATAAATAAATAAATAAACAATAATAATAATAATAATAATAATAATAATAATAATAATAATAATAATAAGTAACCTGTAGCATGGGAAAATGGGCCTGAACGCGAGACTGGAGCGTGGAAAAATGCAACAAATGGGCCCTACAAAAAATTTAATTTGCTACAAAAAAAAAAATCAATCTTCCCATCAATAAAAAATTAATTCTTTATTTTTTTGCTCTGAAAAAACTCTCAAGTGTAAATGCTCTGAGATGTCATTTATTACTTCAATTCTTTGTTTTTTCCTTTTTCAGTTTTTCAATTTTCATTCTTCATTTCTCCATTTTTATGATTTCATTATTTTACAAATTCAATTTTAAGATAAAAATAAATTCAATACAATAATACTACATGTGTAAAATGTAACAAAAGTCAATAAAAACATATAAATAAATAAATTATAACTATTTCATTCATGTCAGAGTTTAGTTTAATTACGAACAATGGCCCGTTTACTAACAGAAAACTGTTCTCTGTTTTTTAATTTTTCAGTTTTCATTCTCTGTTTTTCATCATTCTCTATTTTCTGTTTAGAAAACTTGTTTACTGGCCGAAAACTGTTATCTATTTTCCATTTTTTAATTTTTCAGTTTTCACCTAAAATTAAGTTTAGATAATATTAATATTTTTTGAGTTAATATTTAAAATATTTTTTCTTTAGATATATTCATTTGAATGGCATGTATATGAATATATAACTTTTACTTTGAATTCTAATATATGTGAGATTTCAATATCTGATATTTGGACCAAACTTGTATTATGATGTAACATAATTAAAAATATTCGAACTAATAATCTATTGAGTTTAATCAAAATCTAAAACATTATATAGAGTTTAATTATAAAGTAAATAGAAAAGATAGAAGATAGTGATAAGTAAAATAAGATGATAATGAATGTAATCATAGTAATGTGGTTATAGTGACATATAACTAAATAGATGATAGATGGTTCTGTTTTCTATTTCGAAAACAGTTTTTATGTGTATTTCAGTTTTTCAGAAATTTCCAGAAATTATTTTCAATTTTTTTTCAGTTTTCGGAAATTTCCAGTTAGTAAACGGTATTGATTATAATCTCGCATATAGTTTTTGTATATTTTTACAACAAAGATGATGATAATGATGGTGATAATAATAATAAAGATAATGATAACAATAATAACAATAACAATAATAACAACAACAACAACAACCATAAAACATACTCAACATACTCTCTCTGGGGGCATCTGATTGATGTGGCAGGATCCTGCCACCTCAAGAGTATTGTACCGTTTACGCATTTGGATGAGTAAATTTAGTAAACAATTTTTTCATTTTTTATTTTTTTACTTCTCCAATTTTCTATTTTTTAAAAAAAAAATTCTTCATTTCTCGACTTTAGTAAACAACCCTTGATTTTTTATTTTCCTTGTGCGAAGAACAATTGATGCAATAATCATAATTTTTCAAATAATAACTATGAATTACAATTAAAAATGATTCAATGTCTAAAACATTAAATTTGATGATTTTAAAATTTAATAACTAAAATTAAAAATAAGTAATAATTAGAAGACTAAATTCGAAATTAAGTCATGGCCGGGGAAATAAATGAAGTAAAAATTTATTGATTTATTTATGTTGTTCATGAAAATTAAAACAGAGCATATAATAAGAGTATAAAGTACAGATTTTTGAAGTAGAAATGTGTGAATAACAAAACAGTAACGCCTAGGTTCTCTTGACGGGGTCAAAGTTTGAGACGCCGATAATGGCGCCAAGAATGGCGGCGAGAACAACGCCGCCGGCCACGATGCTGAGCAAGAAGTTCTTGAGGGACGGCGACACGGCGGCCTCCGCCACGTCGGGGACCACCATGGACGCCGTCAACGCCGCTGCCGTCAGACCCGTGATTGCCTTTTCCTTCAAAGAAGCCGAAACTCGGAGCTTCTTGCCGGAGGTTTGGTTCAGAGACGCAGCCTTTGACGGCCTCACCGGTACCGGGCTGAGGAATGCGGCGGCGCTCCGCCGCAACTGCGGCTTCTGGGTGACCGTGATTGGCGCAACCGTCATCGAAGCAGAGGCCATTTCGTATATTTTTCGTTAACAAAAATCAAACCTTTTTTCTAAGGTATGAAATGAAGTTGGGATTTAAAATATTGAGGACCAGAGATTCTTCTGCTTACGTGGCATTTGGTGCGGTCCTACGTGGCAGTACCTCAGCTCTGTTCTGGAGATAGGGTTTATCCAGATTGAATAGTTTTTTTTTTTCTTTTTAAATATATATATTAGTTCATTTTCTTGACTCAATTTAATACCAATATATTTAATATATATATTGGTAATAACACGTTATTATAATACAGATTTATTTATACCATATCATGATACAAAATACTAAAAAGTTAAAAAAAAAAAAATACGGAGTAATAATTATCCCTACCAAAAAAAATTAATTATATCTTTATTATACCATAATTTTTCGAATTGAAGTTTCGAATTTCAATCCAACTCAATATAAAGACTCATAGTTTAATTGACAAAGAGTGAAAAAAAAAAAAAAAAAAAATTTATTGGAGCACAAAAAATCAATACCAACACTGAGATTCGAACTAGTAATCTCTCATTTTGGAGAGCTATAAATTTGACTACAAAATCTTTGGCACCACCCAATATTCATTAAACCAATATAAGGAGTAGGAAGAAACCCCTCCATTACAGATATAAAAACGCCAAAAAAGGCCTAACCAAATAATGGCATTAAAGACCCCTCGAGTTGGTTCAATAGTCACGGAAATAATCATACATTCCACTAAAAAGGAATAGACAAAAGTTGGAACCTAGAAACGACCAACTTTCACTCCCAACCTCTTTTAAGTACTCTGGATATTTACCTGTCATGCATAATTCAATCTCTTTTCACCAAATGGCATTAGAGCTGATGCAAGCCATTTAGCGCCTTAAAATTCAAAGGAACCTCATACAAACCAAACGAGCATGGATTTGGCAGAATTCAACTTTTTTTTCCCACCAAATAATGGCACCTTAAAACTTACATAAGCCCCACTCAAACCAAACGAGCTTGGAGTTGACAGAATTCAACCTTTTCTCCACCAAATAATGGTCCCTTGAAATTCACGAGAGCCTCACACAAACCAAACGAGCTTGGGGTTCCACCAAAGAATAGCCCCTTGAAACTCACGGAAGCCTCACACAAATCAAACGAGCTTGGGGTTGGCGGAATTCAACATTTTTGCACCAAAGAATGGCACTCAAGGAAGCTAGAATTAAACTGAAAGAAACTAATAACACCAACCAAGAAGAGATGAATGAAACTAAGACGATAACCTATTAGCAACCTTCATTGTTCAAGAGATGGTTAATCAAAATTCTCAAACAACACCAAAACATTCCTTCTCTAACCCTTGCTTTGGTTGCACCTACAATCTATCTATCCACTAGCATTAGTAGCAGCAGAAATTTAGCCTTGCATCTAGCCATGACTAAAAATCATATCTTCACAGTTCAAACATAGCCATTCACCTCGCTGCCGACGCGAAAATTTTCAAAACCTTACCGCAAATCAAACTCCATTAGCGGGAGAGGGAACAAAGTCATTTACTTCTCCCGCTTGTAGCTTTTGACTCAACAAGATGAACTTCTTGAGGAAGAAGATCATATCTGATATTCAGATCCTCGAACATTTTCTTCATTTCTAGGATCAGTCCAGTTCTCCGCTTGTTTTTCTCCCCGAAATCTTGAAAGTTCATCGTATGATTGAAATATAAGGCCATCTTTATTTTATTCATGTTTTCAATCTCCTTCACCACCAAGTTGTGATTGGCGTGCCAAAGAGGGGATTTTTCTATATACCTGAAAGTTTAATGCAAAAGGAAACGACGAAATGGAAGACATTCAACAAAGTAGTTTACAATATGTTCACAAATATTCAAATAAAAACCCAATTTGCATCGACATTCGACTAGAAAATAACAACCCTTTGTTCATTCCTCATTTAGCAAATTAGTATATCCTCGTTTAAATATTGCTTTGGTAGATCGAGTTTGGTTTTGCCAGTTAAGTCTAGATCTTTTATTGTGATACATTACAGATCTTGCTGCCCAACTAGTTCACACTACCTAAAGATCAAATTAGTTATATTGTTTCCTTTACTAGTTTAGTTATATTGTTTCCTTTACTAGTTTAGTTATATTTCCTTCATATATAGTTTAGCAGTTTTAGAATATTATTTCCTTATATCTTTGGTTGTCACTAACTCCTATATATATGGGAGAATATTAATTTGTCTAAGTTAAGTTGGAAATTGAATAAAATCAAAAGGAAGTTTCTTCCTCCAACTTCTCCTCTCTTATTCTATATCCAGCCACCATAGGTAGACCACCTGCTTCCTCCGTTAACCATAGACCTGTGACGCGTAGTCTATCTACTGAAACATATCATATTGATTGAAGGATGATCAAAAATCATAAAAAGCTGAGAATATATTCAACTTACTTCTTTACTTTTTCGTTTAGAGTTCCGATCTTCTCCACAGGTGTCCTGAAATCGATTGAGAACTCGAAGGAATCACTCATATCAGGACTTCTCTTGTAATTGCTGATGGGCTTAGTAGCCAAGACGGAATTTGGATAGTATATTTTTTCGTTGTCGTATCTCAAGAAGATAGTTGTTAAGATGTTCATTTCCTCGACAATCATCTGCCAATTCCATGACACCACATGGATCAATAAAGAAATTCGAGAACGTAACAAAACGAAGATCAAGATCCAATTAATTTAGTTACCTGAACCCCGTCAATGACACAGCGATCGCCAACATCAAATGGATGCATCACAAACACGAAGACAATAGCTTCGAAGATAATCTTGCAAGTGTTCCCGAACATAAAAGCAGCAACGACAAGTTGGGATGACAGAAAGAAGATTACTTTCGTAGTAGCTATCCCCACTAACAGAAGCCATATGATTATTATTACAATTAACAGAATCCCTGTGACAAGCTTGCCCAACTGCCTGACAGCTGTTTTCGTATCGTTTAAAGCATGCACTAGCGTTTTGCGGTCCTTGTAAACCTTAACCTGCATTTATGAAATACGCAAATATCTAAGAGATGAAGTCTTGCAAAAAAAACCAACAGATCCAGTGGCTTTTTTCGAACGTAGCCACATAGGGTACAAGAATGACAATTAAGGAATAAAGAACATATGTAATAGACCACCCAAACTATGGAAAAAAAAGATTAAAACTTATTCATTAATTTCACTTATCAAGTCAAGTAAAGAAGCTAAGTCAGCTAATATGCCAAAGAACGAAAGAAAGGTTACAAGTTTGACTCCCAGCGGGAGAAGGCCACCTATTGGCCTTCTCGGTTTGAGCTGGTCAGCTATGGGAACCTAGGCTGGTTTACCGGCAAATTATTCTGTGGACCGGGTCCACCTTGGTCCAGGTGGACCCGGTCCAAATGTTCACAATTTACCTTTTAAAAATTCAGAATTTGTATACTATGAACACACAATGTTAACATATATGTAATTGATTATCTTGTTTTGTATTCATAAGTTCCTTTCAAATACTGCAGTCAAACAAATTAGGATTTGATGACCCTGTATTGTATTCACAAATTCCCTTCTACAACTGTTATGTGTTTTGATTTAGAAACACAATTTATATTCTAGAAGTTGACAATTCCAATACTAAAAATACACAATTTATACGTTGATTAGGACCAACTCTGGTTTACCTCCGTGAACCTTTGTCAGCTAGGGTGACAAGGCAGGATTTACCCAGTGCACACCCTTGGGTAGTGGCTGCGGATTTCCCTTGTAGCTCGAAAAAGAAATAGAAAGAGAGAAAGGTTTTACATACCACCCACTCTGTCAAAGTTTTCCTGTCAATTTGTCCAGTCTCAGCCACATCTATCATAGGGAACACCATATCCACCTCTTCTTTAATCAAGAATCTCCTTAGGTCAAACTCATCGATATACCTTTGTGAAATAGCAATAGATGATGCAAATTAGATAGCATGCACATGAATGAAACTTTAAATATGAAAAATCTCGAAAAATTGCAGATTTATCTTACTTGGAACCCGGCTGTGCAACATTCCTGAAAATGTGATATGCAGCAGCAAGTGCTTCCTCTTCGTTAGTAATCTCCTTATCGGGTTGTTCATATTCTCCATCAAAGGTGGCTTCATCGAACGAACCAGAGATGGTGGACAGCCCCGTATTAGAAATGACATCGACTAACATTTTCATTGTCCACGCAGATACCTTCTCCCTCTTCATCTGATGGAGCTTATTAATATCGATAACTTCTTTCTCTTTCTTCTCCTTCCCGTCCTTTCCCTTCTTTGTCCTTTGGAAACTAAGCTGACTGATAGTACTGTTTGTTCTCCTAATCATCCCCGCAGACTCCATAACAGCAGCCCCCGAAAGGGTCAATAGAATGTACTGATGAAATATCGATTCTTGGATTCTGTCGAAGAACGTGTTCACATGAAAAGAGGACGCCAAGATCTTAAGCAGTAGAGTCTTCACGAGCCACAAAAAAGCGCCAATAACCAACGAAGCGATTGTCCAAGTAATGTAATCCAAAACTCGGTTGGCAACACGTGATCTCCGAACTCCGTGTGTGAAGAGGGAAACCCAAGTGACAAGGACCAGACTCAGCCAAAGACAGACCCGAACGCTCTTCTTCAAACTGTAAACAAAGTACAACACCTTCTTCCTCATCAGAAAGTTCAGCTCAATCAACAAGGCGAGAAAATGGATGAACCATTTCGTGACCAACAGTCCATTTAAGGTCACCATAACAAGTGTTATCCACTTCCAGATCTCCAAATCCCAAATTCTCCATTTTTGCACCTTATTAACCGTCAGGCTAGCAATCAGACACCCTAAAAGGCAAAAAAATAATGACCATTCACTTAGAACTCTCAGTTTCACTTTCCTAAGCCTCAACTTCTCCCTCACTTTAACTTTCTTGTATATCTCCTCGTGTTCATCATCGCCTCCAAAACCGCCCCCCGGTGATGCCATCAACGGTGTTTTGGGGGTAACGCACACTGAAACAGTCCTTGCAGTCTCTTTGTACGAACCCGAACCCAATTTGTTGATAGGCGAAGCACGATTAGACGCATTTGCATAGGTTTGCTCAACTTGCTCATCAAACATATCATGATCAATAGTCACGGGTTGTTCACCAAATCTTGATTTGGGTTTCGAGTACACAGATCTTGCAAGTGACTTACGCCGAGTGAGGCCTGAATTGGGTATTTTGGGAGGCTTATTGGCACTCGGGCTGAATGTCGCATTCTCAGGGGAGGAACAAGTCACTGGGACACGGGGCGAATGAGAATCAGATGAAGGTTTAGCCTTTTGATCCCTCACATCATTATGCAGATTCCCTGAATCTTTTTCATCACCAGAGATCACAACAACCACCTCACTTGCCGCTTTCTTGTTCTCCGCTGTGCTAATTTCTCCAGTGCTAGTCTTTGGAGCATTACCATTTGCATCCATCACAATCCAATGACAACAAACACCTAAACAACAACCAAAAAAAGGAAATTAACTAAAAAGAAAATGAAAAATGCCTTGTTTTCATTAGCCAGAATGGAAAATTGAAAGCAGAAAACATGTTTCAGACAAAGTAGCTTCTTTACAGACATCTAAATTCAATAAACATCAAAAAATAAAAGACTAAATAAGTGGGCCATGAAAAGAGATCAGTATCTGCTTGGACAAAATTCACCTACTTTCAGGCCCCCAACAATACGTACATTTGTACCAAAACACTAACTTTAACAACCCCCACACAAGTACAATCTCAAAATTTTTCTCACATTTTATGTATTTTAAGCAAGGGAGCAAGCTCAAAAAACCATACAAAATCTGTGAATCCAACCTGAAAGCCAAGGTGACCACTTACAAACAATTGAAAAGCTTCAAACTTTAATACCCAGATGCAATGTTTTAGAAGAAAATAGCAACAAAGTGTTCACCTTAACCACGTTGCAGTAAATCAAAATAAGCTGAGAAGTCCAGAGGTCATATCAAGATTCAAGAACAGACCCGAGAACCAGAAACTTCAGATTAGTGGCTGGAATGGTCAAACTTGAAGATAACAATAAAAAAGTAGAAAAAGAACATAAAATGGTAAAGGTGGAAGAAAATTGCAAATTTGCAACTAGCATAATAAAATAAAATAAAATAAAATAAAATAAAAACAAGCAAGAACATAGAACTTGCCTGTTTCTCTGTTTTTGTAAAGATTTGACAGAAGGAATTTTCGGAGAGCTAGAGAGGAGACAAATGACTACTAATTCGGTGGTGTTTGGTGTGAAATTTGGAAGGAAGAGGTGAGGTGGCGCAGTTTTTGAGGGAAGACTGGAAACTCAAAAGCAGTCAGTATGAAGAGCGTTTTTGAAGACGAACCACGTGCTCAGCGACAGTAATATAAGGGTTTTTTTTTTTCTTTTTTTTTTAGAAAACAGTTGAGCATGTTTGATTCGCCGAAAAATATTTTTCTTGAATTTGATAAAAAATTAAAAATTAACTTTTTTTTTAAATTATGAAAAATATTTTCTACAAGAATAGGGAGGAATGATAATGACTAGTTTCAAACCGTGCACTGTTCAAATCCGACCAAAACTATAATTGTAATTACAATTCCGGTTCTGGTTAAGAACCGAAACTCATAAGGTTATGGTTCCATAATATTTGGAACCGAAACCGCCGATTCTAATTTCAAACGGGAAAAGAAATTTTTTAAAAAAATTAATTATTATTTAATTAATGTTTAAACTTTAAATACAATAATATTTTAAACTTCAACGATAACAATTTTTTAATATAATTTAATTTTAAAGTTTAAATATTTTATATGACTATTTTAAAAATATTTTAAAATAAAAAAATTTCAAAAAAATAATTATTATTATTGAATTTGAATAATTTTTAAAATACAAAATAAAATATACAAACAAAAATTAAAAAAAAAAAATCCAACTCGAACCGGAACCGTCGGTTCCAGTACCGGATGTAGAATCATTATAAAAGGTTCGATTTCGGTTCGACTGATTTCGGAACCGGAACCGACCGTGGCCATGACTACTCAAGAATGAAGAAAATATTTTTCATGGTCTCCCTTGACATTTTATTTTTCTTGAAAAATATTTTCGGAAAATAAGTAGGACAATTATACACTCACTATTTTTTTTTTTTTTTTTTTTGAAGGAAGAAAGAACTTTATTAAATTAAATGTTGAATACAAGCTGGTAAAGATGAAATCCAAACAGACGGACCAGATTGGGAATAAGCTGCTCGTGCTATAGCGTGAGCACACTTATTAACTGATCTAGAAATATAATTAAAGGACACTACTTCAAAGTGTCTACGAAACTCCTTACATGCATCAATAGCACAACCTGCATATGACAAATCAGTTTCAGAGCTATTCAAGAGTGTACAAACCATCAGACAGTCCGAAAGAATCGCAACTTTCATGTAGCCTAGTTCTTTAACCCATGACAAAGCCCTCTTTAACCGCCACTGCCTCTGCGAAGTGGACATCATTTAAGCAACGTATGCTGCCATTTTTAGCTCCCACGTAATTTCCATTGTTATCAAAAACAACACAACCATAGAAAGCCTGACCACCCTCATCATGAACAGTAGCATCAACAAAAACTCTAAAAACATCCCCTAAATTAGGAATATTCAAAACATGTGGTGCAGCTTCTCCATTCGGCAAAGACAAATGCAGCTCACTCCATTCATTCACAAGCCGTGCTACTTCCATCTTGATATAAGAACACTGCCACTGCTTAGCATTCCAAACCAACGCATTTCTCCCCATCCATATGCACCAACAGACTGCAGCAACCAACACTTTCTTCTCTATATCATTGGATATCAAAATCCCAGTCAACCACACACAGAAATCATCATTATGAGGGAGGGGTTGATGAAGCAGATCATGCCACAAAGGACTCACCTTCTCACAACCACACATCAGATGATTCAAGGTTTCAGGCTCCTGCTGGCATAAAGGACAAGCAGCATCAACTTCTACTCTCCGGCTTTGAAGTGCAACAAGCGTAGGGATGACATTATGAAGGCAACGCCATAAGAAGTTATGGACCTTTGGTGGTATTTTCAGTTTCCAGATACAGCTCCACACACCGCTCACCACCTGCCCAGCAACATAAAATTCAGATAACATGCGATAACCATGTTTCACCGAATATGTACCTCTAATATCTCCACGCCAACACCACTCATCATCATAATCAGTCGCGATAGGTATTTTAATAATAAGCCCAACGTCTCGTGCCGAAAATAACTCATTTAGTATGTCTACATTCCAGTCCTGTGAGTCTGATCGTAAAAGAGCACTAACCTTCATGTCTGGATCATGGCCTGCCATAGGAGTCTGAACGTAGGGAGCATTAGTGTCAGGGAGCCATGGATGGTTCCATACTGACGTCGTTTGACCACTTCCAATACGACGATAGCACCCTCTCCGGAGTAACTCCTGACCTGCAAGAATGGAGCGCCAACAGTAGCTTGGGTTTGCTCCTAACGTTGCATTCAGAAAGTCTCCACCGGGAAAGTATCTTGCTTTAAGAAGCTTGGCTGTTAGTGAAGAAGGATTTTGCAGTATCCTCCATCCCTGTTTGGCAAGAAGTGCAACATTAAACTTATTTAGCCTCTTGAACCCAATTCCACCCATCGACTTAGGCAGGCACATACTACCCCAAGCCTTCCACCGAATACCACCTCCACGATTGCTGCTGGATTCCCACCAATACTTATTCATCAACCTTTCTAACCGCTCACAAAAAGATTCCGGGAGATAATATAAGCTCATAGTGTAAGTTGGTAGAGCCTGGGCGACGCTTTTCAACAACACTTCTTTCCCTGCCCTTGACAAGATTTTTTTATTCCAGCCTCCAAGGCGTTGCTTCAGCTTAGCCTCAATGTAAGAGAAGACTTCTCTTCTATTTCTACCAATGCCCATAGGTAAGTCTAAGTAGCGACCAATATTAGGAGCCTGTTGAACATTAAACACGCTAGCAATAGCATGTCTTGTAGTCACATCCGTATTCCGACTGAAGACAATGCATGACTTATTGAAGTTTACACACTGTCCAGACATTTGCTCATAAGTTGCCAGACAATTTTTAACAGCTTCTGCCTCCGTAACCGTAGCTTTAAGGAAGAGTAAGCTATCATCTGCAAACAGTAAGTGGCTAATACCTGGAGCACCTCTAGCAACCACACAAGGCGATATAAGCTGTCGCCTAACAGCACCCGATAAAAGATGAGATAGAGCTTCTGCACACATGATGAAGAGGTACGGAGATATGGAGATATGGGGTCTCCTTGTCTCAAACCGCAAGTTGGCTTGATATAGTCTGTGAGGCCCCCATTCACAATGATTTTATACCTTACAGTAGTCACACATCGCATAACAAGACTAATCCACCGGGGATGAAAACCCATGCAAGTCAGTATTTTTTCAAGGAACGGCCATTCCATCTTATGTACGCCTTCGCCATATCAAGCTTTAGTGCACACCAACCATCGCGACCAACGCGTTTTCCGTTCAAATAATGAATAGCTTCAGAAGCCACAAGGACGTTATCAGTTATGAGTCTACCGGGAATGAAAGCACTCTGAGTAGTAGAGATAACGCCATCTAAAATACCTTTTAACCTCGTCGCCACCATCTTCGAGAGGATCTTATATGTGACGTTGCACAAAGCGATAGGACGCAAGTCACCCATCGTTCCGGGATTCGGCTTCTTGGGGATTAAAGTAATAAAAGCATCATTCATACCATCAGGAAACACATCAGTATTAATGCAGGTAAGAATAAAATGCACAACATCAGCACCAATTTCTCCCCAAAAATGCTGATAAAATGCTGGGCTATATCCATCAGGTCCAGGTGACTTATCTGGGGCCATTGAAAACAAGGCTTCCTTTACTTCATCGAACGTGAACGGCCGTAGCAGATGTTCATTATCCGATTCCGTAATTCTAGGAATAAAATCATCTAGTGCAGCGTTCCTATGTACTCCTTTAGAAGTAAAGACTGTCGTAAAATACCTTGCTGCTAGTCCAAACAGACCCTCGCCTTCTACCAACTGATTGTTCTCATCATAAAGCTTTGTCAGTCTATTCTTTCGTTGCCGAGCGGAGGCATAAAGGTGGAAGAACTTGGTGTTTCTATCGCCCCGCACCAGCCAATATTGTTTGGCTCTCTGTCGCCAGAATATATTTAATTCCTCATCCAGTAACCGTAGCCTTCTGTCCAATACCTTGAACGCAGCAAGAGAGGAGGCATCTCTTTTATCCCTAAGGCCATTCATACGAGCATGCAGCTGCGTCATTTCCATCTCCAACTGCTTTGCATAATCTCCTCCCCATTTCTTCAAAGCCAAACTGCACTGGAATAGACGACTAGGCAGTAGGTCACCAGTAGACAAGTGCCAAGAATTTAACACAATATCCTTACAACCCGCCTCACGAAGCCATGCATTTTCGAATAAAAATTGTCGTCTTTGTCTAGCAATGCGAGGCCCCTCGAGCTCAACAAAAATAGATGTATGGTCTGAAGAAACTACATCATAGTTATGTACTGTTGCCTGAGGGAACAACGTACACCACTCTGGCATTGCAACCGCTCTATCAAGTCGTTCTTCAACCCAATGATCCGTCCCCCGACCTTTGTCCCAAGTAAACTGCCGTCCCCTCATTCCCAAATCGAAAAGCTCACAATCTTTTAGAGCTGTGTTGAAACCATCGATCAAAGATGTCGGGTGTGGATGGGTACCTCGCTTCTCATTCGGGGATGTAATATCATTGAAGTCTCCCACAACAAGCCACGGGAGTACAGACCTTGTTTTCAAAGACCGTAAAAGGTCCCACGATTGTTGGCGACGGCCTCTCTCCGGAAAACCATAGAAGCATGTCAACCTCCAAGGCACGCTGCCAGGCAGCCTAACTTGGACGTCGATATGATTCTTGGAATAACTAATTAGACTCACTACCCCATTGTCTCTCCACAGTAGAGCCAAACCTCCACCTCTTCCACCACCATCA